TAAATCTAATTTGATCGCTCATAATCACATCAAAATTTGTAAAGCTTCCAGAAGTTTATTAATCTGACAATTTTCTTCAGGATATTACAAATTTGACTGCTATGGCCCTGCCGATTAAGTTTCGTATCTAATCTAAACCTTGAACATGGACTGGATTTTAGGAATATGATTTTACCACAGACACTTGTGCGAGTCTAAAACAGTAAAACGCGAAAAAACGGCACGTCAAAAGTTGTATTTTTGTCAGAAAGATTTTTATCTTATCTCGTGTATATTAAAAAGTTTCTTTTCCAGTTCAACCACAGATATTCGACATGCATTGTCCAAGCACAATAGTTGAGGGAAGTACCGTAACTCTTCTCTGTAATGCTACTGGAAATCCATCTCCAAATATCACCTGGATATGGCAAAATATAGGACTTGTTCTCGGTAGAAACGGAAATCTCACTATTACAGAAGTTGATCGAAGTCAAACAGGGACTTATCTGTGTCGTGCGTGGAATGGAATCGGCAGCAATTCCACCAAAAGATGCAGCTTGGACGTGTTTTGTAAGAAAATAATCCTTTCCTTCCCCTTACTGAAAGAAACTATTACATTTGATTGGTTCGTCTTGGTTTCTCTCTAGTCTGAAAATACTTTTTTCCTTCAGTGACTGCCTATTGGATGCTTTTTCCGTTACAAACTGGGCAGGATTTTCTCAACGCGAGTTTCTTTTGTGTGTGTTTTCAAGTAAGCTTTGTTCTTCGTCCGTTAGTATACTTATCTTCCGAGGGAAATTTTTTTATTGCTAACTAAACATTTCTGACATAATGTACATTTAAGAGGTGTTAACCGAAAATGGTTTACCCTCTTGTCAGTAAAACATTGTTTAATGATCACGAATACAGGTATCAACTTGATATCCCATATGGTAAGGTAAGTAAGACGTCAAAGTTTTTCAGTTGCATTGATAGTAAGGATCCGGATTCAAAGGAAAATGACGGCGTGTGACTCATTGTTAATCATGATGAGACCACGTGCTTGACCGAGTTCAATGACTAACGATAACACTCGCTTATAACACTTTGTGTACACTTACCAACTAAATACAATTCCATGCCATCTGACTGATACTCAAAAGTTTTTTAATTAAGTCAGTTTGTTTTTCATCAGTCGAAACTCATGTTCAAGCCTTACAGTGTCCGAGCTCAGTCACTGAGGGAAGTAGCGTAAATCTTCAGTGTACTGCTACTGGTAATCCTCTTCCGAACATCACATGGATATGGAAAGATACAGGAGATGTTCTTGGTGGCTATGAGCAGCTTATTCTGGTCGATGTTCAGCGTAACCAAGCTGGGTCTTACCAGTGCTTTGCATGGAATGGAATTGGCAATAGTTCGACCAATACATGTCACTTGGATGTATTTCGTAAGTCGATTAACTATGAAGTTTTCAGTGCATGTGTCAGTCGAGGAACATGCGAAAAGTAAACATAATGATGACAATAGAGGTTTATAACCCTGTTGTAAGGGTTATTTCTTTCTTTGGAGTGATATAACATACGAATGGAATCGTTAGTACAATCGTTTCCCAAGGAGGCCCCTAGACGCGACTGCGAGGATAACGAACTCTGTTTATGTTGCAGACTTGCCAACTGGAACAAGCATGACATCCGGCCTAAATGATACTATCGTCTTAGCTGGAGATAATTTGTTCCTAAATTGCACCTCAGATGCTAACCCGGCAGTTTACGAGTTTCAGTTGACATTTGAAAGCACCCTTATTGCCACCAGCAGTTCTGGGATGTTTAGCGTTTCCGTGAAGAAAGCTGGAAAATACACCTGTTTCCCAGTAAATGTAGTCGGCTCAGGGGACAATGCTACAGTCAAGGTCACTGTTCTCGGTAAAGAGATATTGTATAAGCAGTCTTTTATAACTAAGACTCCCTTTTAAATTTGATTCAATAAGACTAAATTATGTGACAGATTACCGTGGAGGGCATACCAAGGATTGAGTGGAATAACGCTTGACTAAGATCAGAAGCAGGGAATGGCAAGAATTGTAATATCTTTGAAGCTGTGAAAATAACTAGAATAGAATGGCTGAGCTTGAGTCAGCCTGAAAGTCACGTCCAGAGCCCACTACATCATTCTGATTGAAAAGCAGCAAAACTTTCAGTATGGTGCCTTTCGTGCGAGAAAACATAAATTCAAAAGGTTGCACGCATGTTCTTTCTTTTGGTCAGGATATCTAAAAACTGATTGATGACAATTACTCTCGAAAGAAACGAAAGGATTAGTGAATCAACGAATGAGAACTTTTGTTTCTTATGCCTACGTTTGTTTTTGGGAATACCCGGCCAGTTTTCCAAACATTAATCTAACTCACTGTACTCTAGTGCGAAAATCGAGGGATTCGTAGATTTTTGCATTTCCGCAGCCTGTTTCACTTTTTGAAAAGAAGTTGGTATTAAGTTTTATGTAACGATTGCTCCCAATGTCTCACAGTCCTGTTGTTGATAATTAAAGAAATGAAGTTCAGCCTTAGAAGATTTTGGCTCCGGAAGAATTTTATAAATATATCTTATTAACCAAGCGCGAGGGCCGTACTGGGAGAATATCGGCCCGAGGACTTTTCAGTACGGACCGAGCCCAGCGAGGTCCGTACAAAAAAGACCGAGGACCGATATTCTTCCAGTAC